ATGTAAATAAACTGTTAATGTAGAAATTGTGAATGGATGTCTGGTTGTTGTTATGGATTGAACTGTGTTCTCCAAAAATATGCGTTGTAAATCCAACCCTGGTAGTGGTGATAATCCTATTTGGAAATGGGTTTTCTTTGTTATGTTAATGAGACAGTATTAGTGTAGGATGTGTCTTAAGTGAATATCTTTTGAGATATAAAAGAGCAGATGAGGCAAGCAAGCGCAGTCGGGCGAAGATAGATGCCGTGCCACATGAGATCTCCAAGGAACCAAGAAACAGAGGCTGAAAGGAGACAAGGACCTTCCCCCAGAGCCAACAGAGAGAGAAAGCCTTCCCCTAGAGCCAGCGCACTGAATTTGGACTTACAGTTTCTTAAACAGTGAGAAAATAAACTTCTGTTTGTTAAAGCCACTTACTTGTGGCATTTTATTATAGCAGCACTTGATAACTAAGACAGTTGTGTATATTGCCACCAAAAATAAATAAAATATTAAAAAAAAAGTCTGTGGTTTCCATGCTCCTAGCTCTGAGTTCCTCATTGCTGCCACTATCCTCAGATTAGGACCCCACCACTACACTAGTTCTGGCTGGACAGCCCAGATGGCTTTTGCATCCAGTAAACACCATAGATATATGAGGAACAGCAGGTCAGAGAAGGGCTAAGATGAAGGAGGCCTCAGCCAGCGGGGTTGGGGCTCATGTACTGGGGGCTGGAGTTCACTCTGCAGCCCTCATGGCTTTCAGTGGTAGCAAGTTAGTGACCTGGTGGCAATGTAGCTCTCCATCTTCCAGCCCCACTTCACTTCCCCTTCTCCCCATTAAGATAGCACTGTCCACTGCTCTGCCCAGACCCCCCCTTACAGGACTGAGGGACTTATTCCCCAGCTGTTGAGAAGGTGGACCAGGCAGCTCCCAGCTGTCGGCCCCCATGAGCAATAGCCTTGACTGAAGAGCTGCCTCACCAAGATAATGCCCCTTTCTGGGGCAGTGCAGATAGGATGACTGGTCAACACAGGGCACAAAGCCCTGTCCCTTTGTCCCAACTCAGGACAATTCTGAGCAGCCATCCTAGCCAAAGAGCTCCTGGAGGTTGGTTGAGCCTTGGGGTTGCATTGCAGCCCAACTTCTCCCTCTCTGCGTCCATCTCTCCCTCCCACAGGTGTTAATCCTGAGAGCACGCCCTAAGAAACTTCCTGCCTGCTCTCTCCATCTTAAGGAAGCCAACCTACAGAGCCATCTCTCCTGCATCTCTTCCCTTCTCACCTGAGAAACCTCCTGTGATGGTTAATTTTGTGTGTCAACTTGGCTAGGCTATGGTTCCCAGTGGTTTGGCCAAAAACTAGTCTAGCTGCTGTTCCATAATATAATGTAATGTAAGATAATCACCTTCCATAATGTTACATAATGTAATATAATGTAGCAATCAGCTTAAAGGGGAGTTCCTTAGGGTGTGTTCTGTCTTTAGAGTATAAATAGCTATTTTGGCAGAACTCACTCTTTCTCAACTCTGTACTCTTCCCATCGCCTGATCTACAGATCCTGGTATGCAAGCCTGTAGGAGACTCGAGACTCCTACTTGATTTATGGATTTTGAACTTGCCAGCCCCACAATTACATGAACAAATCCCCTGAAGCAAAGCGCACACTCACGTGCTTGCATACCCTCTCTCTCTCTATATATATATATATCAAAAACCAAATCAAACCAAACCCATTGCTGTTGAGTCGATTCCTGCTCATAACAACCCTATAAGACAGAGTAGAATGCCCCATAGGGTTTCCAAGGAGCAGCTGGTGAATTCGAACTGCTGACCTTTTGGTTAGTTGCCAACTGCTTAACCACTGTGCCACCAGGCTCCACATAAATATATAATATATACAGAACCAGATACATACCTTGTTCTGTTTCTCTGGAGAACCCTGATTAAGACACTGCCCAACACTGCAAGGCCAGCAGGTTACACAAGATCCCTCCCAACCCAGCCCCCGTTTGCTGTGGGATTCAGAGCTCCTCCTGGGTTCTAAGCAGGGTTTTCTCCCAAGCTGGGGCGCTTACGTGGGGAACTTGTTTGCTACATGTGGGCTTGGGGTAAAGTTTTCCCACCTTCCCAGAGGTAAGAAGTGAATGAGCAGGGCAGCCTGGGAGAAACGGAGACAACCTTTAATCGGGAGACCTCAGGTAACGACGCAGGACGGCAGGTGGCACAGTTGCAAGGGAACCCTTAGCCCTATCTGACTCTTCCCCAGAAGAAGAAGAGAGCCCGGCAGCCCCAGCTTTTCTCCAAAAATCACGCCAATGGTGGTGCAGGGAGGGTACTGACCATGGTGAATACTGTCCACTCAATTCTCATACCACGTTCAAGATGCTTCTTGGGAACAGGTTATGTCTGGCCTAAGTGGGTTGTTCCATTCCCATGGGAGCCCTGCAGGAATGAGCTCTGGCGTCATCAGCCAGGTTCACCCCAGAGCTGCCTGCATGCCCGCCAGGCCACTGGCAGAGTTTTGTCTGTCCGTCTTCTGGAAGTTGAGACCTGCTTATACAGTGGACTCCTTCTCCCTTGAGGTCATGGGTTTCGGGGGGGCGGGGCTGGCAGTGGCTGTGAGGGCCGCAGAGAGTCTGGAGGTGGGAGAGAGTCTGTGAGGCCTGGAGAAAGTCACGGGGGCGTCTGAGGGGCTGGGGGCAGTCGTGGAAAGTGATGATGCTTCAGCCAGGGTGGCGGCAGGCGGGGAGGGCTGCCTGGATGTTGTCCGGGCCTTGGAGGCTGAGGAGAGCTCAGGAATAATCGGAGGTGGCCAAGGAACCCCTGGAGAGGCTAGAGGTAGAGTGGAGGTTCCTGGAGGGATGGAAGGCCCTGAGGAGGACCGAGGGGGATGGAAGTCCCCGGGCTCTCCAGGGAACGTTCCCCCTCGCCCTGAAGGGGGTGAGGAAGAGGCCTGGGCTCCTGAGCGGCTTCTGGGTGAAGTCCGCATGCTCGATAAGTTCGTCCTTAAGAGGAGCTGGAAGAGAGGGAGCGCTGGCCTCTGAGATGACGCTGTTGGGGGCCCCGGGCAGGTGCTGCAGTTAACAGTACTCAGGGGGGCCTCCATGTCCTCACGGGGGCTCCGGACAGCTTTGCTGAACCCCGTGTCTCCATGAGAGGGAAGCCTCGGTCTTTTCTCCAGAGGGAACGGGGACTCTACAGTGTGGAGAGAGGTGGGGGAAGTGAGGTGCACAATGGTTCTCCCTGGGGCCGAGGTGGCCCTGGACGAGCTGCACTGGGGACAGATGCCCAGCTCTGTCATCTGAGGGGCCTCAGCACACCTGGTGAGCACAGAACAGCTCCTGCCTCCAGGGAGAGAAGACCAAAAAGGACCCGTGAACAAAGGGAGGCCCTACTGGTGACCTTGGGCAAGTCACGTAACTCCTCTGGGCCTCCATTTCCTCATCTGCAAAATGGGCATAAAAATAATGACCACGCAGGGGTGCTCTGAGGATCGAATGGGAGTGGAATGATGCTTGCTGTGTGACCTTGAGCAGGCCCCGTTCCCTCTCTGAGCCTGGTTTTCTCACACCCAGCCCTTGACAAGTTCTATACTTCTGAGAAGAAGAGAAAAGAAGACAGTGGGGAAACCCAAGGACCCCGGGGCCCACTTACCTGGACAGGAGGAACAGCAGTCCCCAGGAGGCATAAGGGGGTCTGCGCAGTCTCGATGACAGGGGACCTTCTCACAGCTTACCTCTCCCAGCTGGGAAAGCAGAAGGACACAGAGAAGCACATACATGAAGAAGCCCAGAGCAGCATGCCCACTCAGACCAGCAGTGGGACTCCCAGACAGATCCCGGGACAGAGGTGACATGCCTCAGCCCCTGACTGACCCTCAGGTGAAGCCAAATGCAACAGGACTACCTTAAGGAAACCACTTCTCCACCCTCTGGACTTCCAGGAAGAGGGAGAATACTGTCAAAACCAAAGACATTCTAGCAGGTAATTTAAGGTGAAGAACAGCTGGAGAAGGACAGGTTCACGTTGGCTAACCCAGAGGTGCCTTGGAAGAAAGGCCTGGCAATCTACTTCTGAAAAATCAGCCACTGAAAACTCTATGGAGCACAGTTCTACTCTGACATATGTGGGGTCACCATGAGTCAGTCGACTCAACGGCAACTGGCTTTCTTTTTTTTAAGGGGTTCCACATTTTGCAAAAGGACAAAAGGCAAAAGTGGCCATCCCCAGGCCAGCTCACCTGGCAGATGCACTGGGTGCAGGGCTCGTCATCCAAGGTGAACACCTGGCCGTTCGCCACTTTCCTTCCCTCGTAGTTGCAGTCTGCGGAGGCAGAGCAGACAGGGCCTGTGAGAACCAGGCCACCCGGGAGTCTCAGGCGTGGGGTGGCTGGTCCCACTCACCTTGGCACACCGGGCAGCACTCCCCGTCAGGGTGGAAAGGGTAGGTGCAGGTGATGGGGCAGTCCACGGGCGAGCAGGCCACTGAGCCCAGCTGCAGGACACAGAAAACACACAGGCCCTTCATTCTGGGTGGCTGATGGGATGCTCAGCAAGACACAGGTCATGGAGCCATTGAGTGCCCATCAGAGCCACCAAGGTTGGGGAGAACGCCTGTGGTGGAGGGGGGCAGTTCTCTTGGTAGGACCTTTCCTCTCGCTAGAACGTAGCCTCCACAAAAGCAAGGGCCTGGCCTCTTGTCCCCCTACAAGCTGCCAGCCACAGATCTCATCTGCCAACAGACACATGGTGAGCCAGTCCACCAACTACCCAGGAAAGGTGAGCAGTGAAAACAGAGGAGAAAGGACCCAGAAGCTGAAGCTCCCAATGCACGTGGCCATGAATAAGCAGAGCACACACACAGGGGTCACTCCAGAGGCCACAGGGCTGTTGACTCTGTGTGTCTCAATCTTTCTGTAGACCTTGTCCTTTTTCACGCCTGCACCCAGCAGAGGCTCACTGCAGCAGACGACCAGTTTGCGCCTGCACCCACCGCCAGCAAAGAAGTTTCGTCAAGCATCAACACTTTCAGCAATAAGGATTTTTTTTTTTTTT